AACTAGAAACAACTATGAACCACACAAACAAACGACAACTACTGAACAACAGGCCCCTGACTTAAAACAGGTGCATAAATATGCAGCGCCAAACTTCACCATAACCTGAGACAGTAGTTGAACATTACAACATAAAAAGACACACTATAAAATATTAATTGAAATGGCGTAACTCGATCAAAAAGACATTTAAACAAAAACAAATAAACATTCACTGAACGATTAAGTTTGATCTTTGACACAATATCAATACAATATTAAAACGTAGGTGCGTATATAACATAGACGTTACAGGTAGTAATAAAAAAGATAAGGGATGATGTCAATACGACAACTCTTACCTGGGACAAAATGGCGTTAAATAAAACAACGTACACAGGTAAATTTGAATATAATAATTTTGTTGTTAGGAGTACGGAAGTAAACATTTTTTACAAAATTAATAAAATTTTTGTTCAGGATACTAGTACAGAAGTGAAAATTTATCGTCATACTAAATACTAATCAAAGGTGATACATAGTTAATAAAAGTGAGACGACATATAACACAAAATAATAAAACATTGAATTACAGAAATGCATTACAAATTGTGCCAACAGATCAAATTCACACGAAAGTACGATTTGAGAGTACTCGCATAACTGAAAACTAGTTATTTACACTAAATCCGTTGGATGTGTACTTATTGATACTTTATTCTGGGAGAATATGATTTATTTATTAGCTTGTTATTGGCTTTGGACGAGCTTTCATTAACTACGAGTACTCTTATTTTGGTGCTTTGTGTCTATTGTTTTTATGGTAGTTGTTTTTGTGCCTCATACCGATCTTTTGAACTATGTCAATTGCTACTGATTTGTATAGTTTGTTCTTATATTGTACTGTTACACCACAATCCCAAGTCAGGGGAGGGTTGAGCGCATACAAAGATGTTTAACACTGCCATATTCTTCATGTGCCTGACCTGAGTCAGGAGCCTGTAGCTCAGTGGTTGTCGTTGGTTCATGTCTGTTATATTTGTTTTTCGTAAATTGTTTTGTTAGAAATTAGGCCGTCAGTTTTCGCAATTGAAATGTTTCATATTTTTCATGTCTGTGCCTTTTATAGCCGACTATACGGTATGGGTTTTTTTAATTCTTGAAGGCCGTACGATAAACTACAATTGCTTACATCTACTGCATTTGAACTCTGGTGTATAGTTGTCGCATAGGCAATCATACCACACATGCTTAATTTTTTATATTATCTGGGTCTATTATTATAGTTCTAAAGTTAAGTTCTTAAATTTGTACCCCTAACTTTCGGAGTTTCTTTGAAATCCCTACGGCAAAACTTTTGTTCACGCTAGGTGCAAATGAAAGGTTGTTATCTAAAGTTTCTTGGACCAAAAGAAATAGAAATTGAAAATGTACAACTAGCTCATTTGGTCTCTGGTGGAAAGTTGTCTCCTTAGCAATCATACCACATCTTCTTATTTTTATATTGGTAGTACCCGAGGATATCATCAGCTTAGTAGTCATTCAATTTGCTTTGGTATTAACATGATTAATAACATACATTTCTAAAAATTCCCCATTGAAAAATTTAAAAATTATTAAGAAATTAAGGGTACAATTCCTTCAGGCAAAATTGAACTTAGGCAGTTCTTTGCTTTCAAATTGTTGGGTTTTAGCGTTCCTTATGAATCAAAATCAAGGTTCTAATACCCTCAGCCAAAATTTTCCTTTTCAGGCTTTGGCATTTCATTTAGGCCTTTTTTTTATAATTTCTGTCTTGTCAGTTCTGCTCGAGGCAAAAATTATTTGAAAATCAAGAAACAAATACAAAAGTTGAAGTGCTGATAAAACCCAAAACGACAAAAATATAAGCCGAACTCTGACAAAGAATCAGAGTTATGTTACTAGTACGCATGCGGGAGATAAATTCCTTTAACTGACAATCATTCCCCTAATTTAGATCAGCATATTTTACTAAAAAAATATCGGTTTTTTTTTCATTCTAGTTAAGAAGTACCAATTTACTGCTCCGTATCGAAGTATGAAATAATCTGTACTTATACCTAATCTAAGAAGCCAAATTGTATTGACATCGAATTATCAGGAAGGTTTCACGGTCATTTTAGCGATTTCCTGTAGTCTGCTGCAATATATTTTAAACATTAGACAGACTCCTTGAGCCCTCCATACACTTTGAAGACAGATATTTTAAATGAAATCGTTGTGAATGGCTTTAGAGTATATATGTTATCTAGTTCTAGGCCTAATCTAATGAGGATTAATAGATTAGAAAAGTTTGGCTGACGCCCTGAGCACTTTTCCTTGAGTTTATTAGATATGTAAAATTCAAATTGATACTGTAAGCCCTCCATATATATCGAATATTTCATTTTCCGAAAACTCTTTAATTAGATAGAATACTGTTATCCGTACATAGTGTAAATACAGCGCTCTATACTAGTCTTATGAAGTACATTTTAAAAATATCTGATTAGTTGTGGGTGCTGGATCAAAATCACACAAATGAACTCCTACTGGTTAAATTATTTTACTCATATTATGACTTTAATTTGTTTTTTTCCTTCTCATTCACGATTAGATTCACTGAATTTCTTCAGTTCTTTTTTTTCTACGTGTATAAAAGTAAGAGCAACTGTATCGTGTATGTATAATGCATATCTTCTTAAACTCATAGCAACTAAAGTCATTCGGGATTAAAACCGTACTCATTTTTCGGCAATTTCTTCTACAGAAATATATTATAAATATTTCTATCTTACAACAAATGTGTAAATACATTATATGATTTACTTTACTATTCAATAAGAAAAAATCATTTCGCATTTATTCAAAATATCAATATCTATAAGAACATGGATCAGGATTGTAATTTTATGAACCTGACAAGTAATTGTGATGAGTTTACTGTCAACGAATATAAGGGATCTGTTTAAAACCGAAGATATATGGATATATTTGTGGATCGATATACCTGCTTGCCAAATATCAAATAATCATAAAAGGTACAATTTAAACAATCATGCGTCTACAACACAATACAAAACGATAACTCAAGTTTTCGCGTGTTGCAGGTTCAAAGATTTTATTTGATCACACTTGTTGAGGTCTCTTATGCATATTCTATCGTTATTGTTACAACACTTCTGTACGATACATCTTACAATGTACCCAAGGGTCGAATATCGTTAGCCTCAATGAATTAACAGGATACACAACATTAAAATACCAATGAATTCAGTGGATGATTATGCGAGGGAATGCACAATATATGAAAAAAGAAACTACTCTTTCCAAATAGCATAAGGCTGTTAGGTCGTTGATACAGATCAGAACTCAGAAAAAGCATCAATGGGATTATGAACACTTGCACTACAACCGTTACTATCTTTAAAAATGCAAATGTTGCTAAAACATAGCATATATCTGTGACAAATATGTATTTGCTTTATAGGGGAATTTGGTTTTGACAGTTTACTTATCAACCGTACGTATCACTAGTTAACTAAGTTTGATCTGAAACGGTCATCAGAATCTGAACAGCTCTGACAAAAATGAACAATGAATTATTTAGTCATTTCAGTCTTATCCACTGCGGTAAATTCAGTACTGCTCGGTTGCAGTCAATTAAGATCTGTTCAGTTTTTGTTCAGACTGTTCAGTAGTTGTGATTTACCGCTACAACTCAATATCATATTGGTTTATATGAAAAGCTACTGAACGGTACTAAATTGACTGCAGCGAATTGTCTAAATAGTACTGAATTTCCCGCAGTGGAGAAATTTGAAAATTGTCTGAAAGACTGAACATTACCTAATAATCAAATGTTCAGACTTTTCAGGCGATGTTAAGATCAAAATGAACGATTAAAATTAAAATTCATTTACTAGACAAAGCGTATACTCGCACGGCACTTGCTAAAGGGGAAAACATGATCAACCGTAGATTTGTTCAACAAATATTTTTTATATTAATGAGCAAAGATGAAGAACTGGACTTTCTGTCATTCTACAGTGTACCCAGATTATGTAAGTGATATATTGCTGAGTCTGCCAAATGTTCCACATAAACCTCTCTCCAAATAATTACCTTTTGAATAACGAACAATGACAAAACAGCTTTCGAGATACTGTGAAACTATCTACTTTACGGAAGCTATACAGTACACTGCTCTGTATACTGTAACGGCCTTTGTTGACCTAGACATAGTAAATACTATTTAGTAAACCTGAATCTTATGGCCTATATGTACTGCAAAATCAACTTATTTATAAAGCAAAGGATACTTTTCCCCCCATTTTCAACCATGACTGACCGGAATAGAAACACAAACTTTATATTAGATGCATTACAAACAACTCACCCCAAGTTTAATTCAACTTGGTTCATTAAATTGTAGCTGCTAAGTCTCAAAACCTAGCAATTTCGTAAGCTTGATTTGGTCAAAGTGCACATCTATATAATCATACATGAACTATTTGCAGTGTGAAGTTAAGCAAACAACAATCATTCAATCAAAGTACATATTTTACCTGAAATCACATGCCCAGATAATGTTAACAAACCAGTATCTCCATTAATCGAATGACAAGCTTGACATAGAGAAAGACTAAAACCATTGAAAAGCTTGAATTTCTATTAAAACAAACCCCTTTTAAATGACAAAGCTAGACAATCATTAGCGACATTGTGTACATATGGATAAAAAGTCCTGCTGAACTTTGGTCTTTTAATTGTTCACATTTTAAACTCATACTTAAAATGAGATCATATCTATGTTTGGGTTTAATTACCAGACATTAAACAAATAGTTACAAATTTGTTGTTTCTTTTTCTGAGAAAAATAACAATATTTATTGATTTCCTCTTAAATTAAATATTTAAAAAAAAAATATTAGATATCATAAACATCAAGGAAGTATGTACATTAAGGAAGGATGTATATATAAACAGAAGGGGTATCATAATTTGTTAAACAAGGAAATAGAACAGCACAAACTACGTTTGCTACTTCTGTAAAGTGAGATCTAGAGCAATGGATTGTTTAGGATAAATGGCAGATGGATCGACCGTTTATGGTAAGCTTAATTATTGGAATGATAACCAAACATAAACTTTCTAAAACAACTGAAAAACGAACAACATGATGATATGACATAAGATAACCATTGACAATGTTCTTGACTTGTGACAGGAACATGAATATGAGACGGGAATACACTAGTCTCTAATCTCCCCCTTTTGTGATCTTGATCATTAAAATCTATTTGACCTGCTGTCATTCAGTTCGTCTGTTTGTTCTGGCTTTGACAATTCAATGGGTAGAGATAATTATTCAAGTAGATTATCATTTTTTCCAAAGAAGGTTGACAAGTTCTAAGACAACTGCAACTACGATAAAGATTGAAACCACATGATTATGTACTCCCGTTGTAGCGTGCTCGCCTCGAGTGCGGGAGTATTGCGTTCAATCCCTAGCCGAGTCATACCAAAACGTAAACTGTGATATTTTCTGCTTCTCCGCTAATCCCACAAAATCCATAAGTAAGAGAAAATACTGGTCGAATAAGAGTCAGAATAATGTGCATATATCTTGTAAAGTTGCACGTTAAAATCCAGCTATGGGTGTCGGTCTAGTATAAAGAAGGATTATTTTAACATAAGCAGGTTCTCGTCCTAATATGCAGGTTATCTTTGCCACGGTAAATACAACACTTATCCGTCATCTGTAATGACTGATCGACTACCGGATCCTAAAACCATTGTCGTGACGTCAGCCTATTCATTTACCGTGAATTCTTTTTCTAGAATCAACGCTTCCTAAATCCGTCGCTAAAATGGACTCACCAAATTATATTCAATTGTTTCCTATGTGTGCCTAATTTCATTAAGTTTGAATTGGCTAATTTACTGATTTCTGTTCACTAATGGAATTAATTTAAAAACTTACCTTTAATTTTTGTAATTTCTATATACCTTCACTGGGAATCGAACATATGATATACATCGGTACAACGGACACACAGGGCTTGTACCTTTATATATACATAAAAGGCAAACGTAAAGCATAAGTTGGTAGCCGCGAGGTTGGCATGGTTAAGATCAATGAGTTAAAGGTAGGGACTTGTCGGTTAAGGTTCGAATCCCTGTATTCTCTTTGTTGTCCCTATTCTCTAGTTTTTCTGGGTTGTTTTTTTCTTAATTTTTATGTTATTGTGGATATTTTTGTAATAATAGCGAGTTTTACCGTTAATTTTTTTTATGATTATTGGCTATTTCACATATTTGAAAAGAAAATGATTACATTCTATTTGTCCATTTTTGTTTTATGAACATGATGAATATAGTATGATAATATTATATCTGTAATACTACATAATTTTACAAATGTTTATTCGCAAATTCTTTTGCGAGAAAATCGTGATGTGCCTAGAATTAGGCTTCTTGCTAGAATATTTGGTAACATACTTATTATATATACTTTATATATGCTCTTTGGTCGGGTTGTTGTCTCTTTGACACATTCCCCATTTCCATTCTCAATTTTATTAGAAATAAGTTCGAATATGTCTTTTTTGTAAAAACAGATAATATTCAGATGCCTGATAATATGAAGTTCTTTACAGGCAGACGTGTTGTGTTATATTTGTATTTTTTACCCATCTAATTGTGATCTTAGATTTATTACTGCATCGTTGGACACGATAACATGGTTATTTAAACTCACTTACAACTTACAATACCTTCTAATTAGGAATAGGCTTTAATTTTGAAAAGACATTAACACAATAGTTTAAGTTATAGATACAATAGAAAAGCGTTGATTCATGAAAAACAAACCATTCGCCCTCCGGGCTCATGGTTTATTTTTCAAGAATCAACGCTTATCCATTGTATCTATATAACTTATTGTAACACGACAAAAATGACTGCAAAATAAAAATTAATAAAAGGGGAGGGGCTAGATGGGATAAAAAATTAAAAAAACAATTGACTAGCAGAATTAATATGTGATGAGGGGATTTTTTAATGACCTTCACTACCCATGAGGGTCTTGCACGGTCGGCCCTGGCTTGCGCCTTTTTGTGCATTTAAATAATTTAGTTTTACCTTATGGTACATGTAATTGATATAATTTTGAGTGACAAAAAGAAAAAAAAAACATGAATATACAAAATATAAAATGAACAATAATTTGACAAATAAGATAAATAAATAAATAAATAAATTGATGAATAAAAATAAAATATAAAAATAAATAGAACTTAAATAAATAAAAGAAAATAAAAAATAATATAAAAATAAAATAGGAGCCACCATAAGCCGGGACAGGTGAAAAGGCAAAGCAAACGACAGTGAGCGGCAGCAACATTGTCATGGTACACCAGCAGCCAAGTAAAGAGCGGAGAAATTGGATATGCCAAATTGTGTATGTGAATTTAGTAGCCAACATATTTTGTATAAACCCAAACAGGCCTAAATATGTGTATGTGAATTTGATAAATATAACTAGTAAAAGGTTTTATATATCTTGGCATTGCACAAGGTCATGTTTTTCTCTGGCTGTTTTGACGTTTTTACACTAAATCCATTGGATGTTTGATGTGTACTATTGATATTTTAGTCTTAGATGCATGAAATTATTTATTAGTTGTTATTGGCTTTGAACTAGCTGTAGGTAAATGCGAGTACTCTCAAAGCTGTACTTAGTGTCTTTTTTTTTGTAGAGATGTATAAGTACCCGTCCACGTCCACTCTGTGTTTTTGATAGATGTATTTCTATTTGTATCCATGCGATGAGTTAAGCCTCATTCAACTGATTTTTATAGTTTGTGCTTATGTTGTACTGTTACACCACTGTCCCAGGTTAGGGAGAGGTTTGGCACCGTTTAATCCCACCACATTCTGTATGTCCCTGTCCCAAGACAGGAGCCTGCAATTGAGTGGTTGTCGTTTGTTGCTGTGTAACATATTTGTTTTTGTTCATTATTATGTACATAAATTAAGCCGTTAGTTTTCTTGTTTGAATTGTTTTACATTTGTCATTTCGGGGCCTTTTATAGCTGACTATGCGCTATGGGCATTGCTCCTTGTTGAATGCCGTACGGTGACCTATAGTTGTTAATTTCTGTGTCATTTGGTCTCTTGTGGAGAGTTGTCTCATTTGCAATCATACCACATCTTCTTATTTTTATATTATATGTACATAAAAAGAATTGAAATGAAAGCATTCTCCTATCCAGACGATTTGTTGTCAAAGTTACAGCTTCTAATCGCTGCGAAAAACATTCTGTAATATACTCGTATAATAAAAAAAGTATGGGTTGCATTTAATATTCGTTCCAATTGAAAAAGAGAAGCATGTGCTATTCATCATTTTTACCTTTGTCTTAATATTTGTATTGCAGCTAGCCTAGTGAAATGGACGCTGACTTAGATACCAAGGATAATGATCGATTAAATAATGTAAGTTTAAACTATTCTATTATTTTAATAAATAGAAGTATTCTTTACGGTTTCCTTCATATATAATTAATCGTGAAATATATAAAATGTGCTAAACTCTAATCAAAAGCAAAATAAAGTTATTCGTCGATTGGACATCAACCCAAGGATACAAAAACGACACGGTTTTCAATTATAGACAAGTCTCAATACAATATACATACCATGCAAGACCCTCATGGGTAGTCAAGGTCGTTAAACACCCCCTAGTAGTAATACAATATATTAATATCTAAATCGCCCAGATACTTTCAAACATTTGCTTTTATCATTTAAGTTATTAAAAACAAAATACAAAACATTATGATATAATCAAACCAACCAATGTTGCAGTTCTTAATTTCGAACAGTCTCATAAATATATGGCGAGTGGGAATAAAATACTGATTTGATAAACTTTTAAACGTTTGCATACACCATATCGGTTTTTTTTTTTAACAAATAGCTTCACGTGTCAGTTTTTCAAAAATCGAATGAGCTCAAAGTTAAACAGAATGTCTGTATATTGGGGACGCGTCGAGATATGTCTAAAAAATAATCCAAATATCTTCAACTCATAAAATGCTTTCGCCTATTGCACGGAGAAAAAACGATTTATTCCTCTAACAATTTTCATGTGACATATGATATAAGTTTGTTTAAATTATCTATTTGGATTTTGTTTTCAATTATTGTTTTGTTTTGTTTTTCCCCCTTTTTTTAGCTCACCTAGACCAATGGGCCATGTGAGCTTTTCTCAACACTTGGCGTCCGTCGTCCTTCGTCGTCCGTTAACTTTTACAAATACCTTCGTTTGTTGAATAAGCACATAGACCAAGGTGAGCGACATAGGCTCTTTAGAGCCTCTAGTTTACTTATGTAAGCAATTTACGAATGATCCAGTATTATGCAAGTCGAACGTTCAATATTTTGGAAAATTACTAACTGGACACGACAATAAAGATTGAGAATGAACTATTGAATATAAATATGGCTTTATTGCACGATTCTAGCCAGCAATTTATGTAAAGAGAAAAAATGCGAATATGTCATAAGTCAAATGTTTGGCAAATTTGCCTTGTGTACATTTAGATGAGTATTAGTAAACCAATTGTGAAAATTGTGATCTGCCATCACATGACAAAAAAGTGTGTCCAGTAATTTTTTATACCTTCATCAATATTATCAGCATACCAACGGAAGCAATCACCAAATCAACCGTATGTCGAAATAAGAGATCAGAAGTTTTTTCAAGTAATCTGGTTTTATCAAAAGGTATGCACTTTTTGTTTTTCTATATAAAGGAACTGATTGAAGCTGCAAAGAGTGGTGACCTAGAAGCAGTGAATAACTGTCTTCAGAAAGGAGCACTAATAGATTATGTTGATCAATCCGATGTAAGTACAATGTTAACTTGATCCCCCTTGGATTATACAGCGGATTTCATACCACCTTAAACTAAAATTGTACTCATCCCAGGAAACACTCAATAAATTTGGCCAACTAATCAAGATAGGCTGTGCTTACGTTCTTCTTTCACAATACCAATGAATATATTGGTTGATTGTGTGTTTCTTGTTTAAAATCTAGATGTAATTATGTCACGTAAATTATGTATTAATACAATAGTTAATAACTGCAAGGGATGAAGGGCGAGGATTTGGATTACCACTCAAAAATATGGGTATTTTGGATGGGGTTAAAAATTTTCTCTTACACCAGACCACCTAAGGACCCCTCATAGAGTTGTTGGATAGCCCCTTCAAAGGGCAGACAGCGTGGCACTTACTCTATATATATAGCTACACGAGGTATAAAATTTAACGTCCGCATTCCGACTGGACGTGGTTACGAATTGATTCATCCTGCACAGCAAGAAAACGGACTGTGACAAGGGTTCTACTGCCTGAACGTTAGAATTTCGGGGATTATAATTTTGATATACCTAAGTCAACCCTTGCAGTTTAATACAGATGAAAAAGTTCGAACCAGTCACCATGATGTAAACAAGTAAGTTAATGGTTACGTCGGGAGCCCTTTCCAGTGTTATGTCTGAATTGGATCCAGACTTGTTAAACACTATTAGAAAGTATTCAATGGCTTCATATCGAACATCACCTAAAAAATACTAGACATCGTAGTTATATATTTTTATGCTGTAGTGTACTTGTACAAACATGCTTAACGTGAGGGTACCCAAATTGCACCTATTTTGACAGTTTTTTCACCTACGTTTATTTATGATCCAGACAAAAGTTTCCATTATGTGTTCATTTTGTAGATTTATCCTTATTTACTATATAGTTATACCAATTTAATTTTGAATCCATATTGAATCATAGAAAAATGGGTTTGAATCAACCTCCAAACGACCCATGAGTCCGTAATGAGGAATATCCAAATTGCATCCATGCTTAAATTCACATCCTTAAAAATCGAATAAAAACAGATGTTTTTTTTTCTTTAAATATGTAGAACAATTTGGCATAAGTCCATGCTTACTATTCATTTTTTAAGAAATGGATGCTTGTAACATATTTTATTTGCTCATTTTTAAAAGATAACTTTTTGTGGACGTCGCATGGCGACGTTTCCGTAGATTTAATTTTTCCAGTAAACACTTCATCTGTTGATATATACTGTGAACGTTTTGTGTATATTTAAATATATTTACATATGTTGAAAGACGTGTATAATGGCAATTCATAAAAATACAAATTGTTTAGTCTCAAAGAAAACTTGTAAGATTTCCACTTCTATTTTTGCTGAAAAGGTGCAACTTGGGTACTCGGTGCAATTTGGGTACTGTGACTTTATCAAAATACGGCTGGCTGTGAGGGATGTATTAGTACGCAGCCACTCCCAGATGTTTAGTTAAGTTGAACATTATAGTACGGTTCCAAATGAATTACAAAATCAATACACAATGTGTACAACTATAAGAATTTACTTAAATACTCATTATATTTAAGAAATAATTCATGAAAGCCATAGATTTGTTGAAAATTTACACATGGCCTGGGCCGTGATATTTGAATTTTATCCTGAGCGTAAGCGTGGGTAAAAATTAACGATATCACGCCCCAGGCCATGTGTAAATTTACAACAAATCTATGACTTCCATGAATTATTTCGATCCTAATAGGACAAATACGGTCATTAAAAAACTGAAGCGAGGGTGGGTATGCCGTGTGTGTGGCTGTTCTTTTTTACTCCCTGTTAGATAAAGCTAAAACATTCTAATAAATCTGTAGCTTGCATGAATTATTTCATAAACAACCGCTAGAAAAAATTTGCTTCATTCTTTTAATTCTCAAACCCAACATTTGCCAATTTTAATTTACATGTTTTTCTCGTAAGCTACCGTCAAATCCGAAGTTGACATTTCGTAACTAAGGCGCCGCCATGTTGACTTGCTGAAATCAGTAAAATGCGAATAATGCAATAAAATAGAAAATAAAACAACACCTACCTCAAAAATCCGTGTTAATGTAATATTATACGAATTTCGATGGTTCACGTGACGGAAAAACCTTCAGCTTTAGCGTCTTCAGTTGTATGACGTCATGTTTTGAAATTACTTAAATGCGCCAAAAGCATTAATGGACTTTCGCGGAATTTTATTTTATTTGATTTAGTAGATTTCTCCGGGCTCTTGTGTATTAATTCTTTTTGTTATGCATCCAAATAAAGAATAAAAGTTCTGTAGTCTTTTTTCAATTGCAATTTTAAAAAAACAATAAAATCGGCATAGCGTTTGCAAATAGGTTCCAATATATGTGGATTTACGAGGGAGGTATATTGTAAAATCCATTATTATGTATATCTCTGAGTCTGCGCTAAGTATAGATATATCGAGAATTTTATCACGGTGTTGTTTACACAGCGAAAGAAGCACGTCATATTATAATTATTATTTGTTAACTACCATTTGTTCTTTCCTCTTGGATATCAATTTTAATGGTTGTTTGCTGTGTAAATTATTTGTATGTTGTTTTGATCTCGTATATATGAATTTTGTAGCTTTCATTCTATTATATAAGATAAACTGGAAATTCTCAGACAATTCATCACAGACATTTGAACCATGACAAAATAGAAACATTGGCTACTTGGCGGATGGTAACCGTGCGAGCCATTCAAACAATACCCGATCCGGAAAGTTTTATAATCAGAAGGAGATATTCATAATTAAATATGAAAAACATGAGATGTTGATGTCAATAAGACTTGTGACATAAAATACCATAATACATCTAACTGATTTTTATAGCTTAGAATAATAAACTTGATTTCCAAGATTTGTTATTTGGTAATACGTCCTTTGAGACGTTTGACGTTGCCATGTTGTCATATCAATTAAATATAATCATTAAGTACACTCTATCAAAGATAACTTATCAAAATCAAAATAATTTTTCATATCAAACCATGTCCTCTAAAGGTCAAACAAAAACATGTGTCTTCTACGATAAATGTCATGCTATTATTTTTCTTTAAACATTCAACTAAAATAAATCACTTGATAAGTTCATAAAATACATTGTTTTCCAATAGAGAGTAAATGAATTAATTTACAAAAAAAAAGACTAAAGGAACACAGATGGTATTTTGCGTTCAATTACAGAAATGAATAACCAAAACAAAATAGATACCATTATACTAGTAGTTTATTTAAAGTATAGTCAAGTAGCTGATTAGAGATACCTGGCTTATACTAATGTACTCCATACGCGATTCATCTTTAAAAGATTCATTCTACTCCGATAAGATAGACATAAAAATAACATAGAACAACACACGGTCTAGAATGACCGATTTAAAACAGGCACACCATTTAATGAAGTTTAAAAAAAAAAAGTGCACACAAAAATCCCTTTTGACCATCTAGACCATCGCTACTACACGAAGCTATCTGAGTAGCTATGGCTATTGGTTGAATATTGTCGCTTAAAAAAACAAATCAGATACAACACTTTGTACAGCTTTTATGAAGTTTCTTCATAACATTAAATTGAAATCGGCAGGATTAGTGAGCGGCCAGTACGTGTTAAATATCGGAAGAAAGGACCGTGTTAACTGAATTACAATGAAGTTAATGTATAACACCTTTAGCTCTTTGTGTATTAAGATTTAAGAACTTTGCCCGAGTTTAAATAAATTATGTTTTAATGTTTTAGGTCTATTTACGTATTAACAAAAGTAGAAGGGGTGAGAAATATCATCTTATATTTTTTTACGAAACACATTATATTTACAGACAAAATGTTGATAACGACTGTCATGACTGTAAAATTGTTTTTGAAAGTTCAACAGTATATTGTATATGTAACCCGTTAAAAGAAACAAAGCTTTACACTATGGTGTTAGAGGCAATTTTATACAATACTGCATTTTATACATGTTTTGCAGATGTTTGCACCGAAAGAAATTGTTTATGAAGATACAAAGAGCTGCTTTATATTCAGTTTAATTTGGGTCTTGGTAAAGAATGTCCTTCATATTCATTTTATGGATAAATAATCAAACTTTGACCAATGTGTCAGAATTGTAGGTTATAATGTGAAATGATCGGAAATTCACCATAATGTTTTTCAAATTGCCACGACTCATCAAAATAAATCCATGGAAAGTTGGCCTTACCTTTTTGACAAACTTCATTTGCAGATTGTGGAGAAAATATTGATAAAGATGTTGATGTAAAAATATCTTTTTTGCAGAACTTGACAGCACTTCATTATGCATCTGCTAATGGACACAGGGATATCATTTCTATTTTACTTGACAATGACGCCGACATAAATGTATTAACACCGGATGTAAGTATTATATTCAAGGATGTGAATAAATAATTGTGCTGAAATTTCATGTCAGCTACTAAAATCAACATGTTAACCAACCATATGTATCCATAACATTACATGACGTTATATCTAACCTAGTTCTAATAACATTAAATACATCCAACTGCAGTATAAACAATAATTAGTCTTAAACATGAGACTGTGAAAAATCAAAGTTTTGATATGATCCTTTTTGTCGTGTTATAAAATGAACCAAAACATTGTTCAAGACCGAGAGAATATAAACTTTCTAAAATATGACAAAACATTGTAAACCATCGAACATGAATTGGAAAGAATGTAATCAAGTAGTCAAGATACCCTTTCATTTTATTGTGAAATGGGTGTAACCAAGAGCAATCAGATAAAAAAAATCATCTTATTTGAATAAATGTATGAATGTTTCAGATATTCGCATATATATCATTTCACAAATAGTTTAGAAATTTATAAAATGGTTCATAATACGTTAATTCCTAGGATCAGAAATACACTTCTAGAAAAGTGTTTCGTGTTCGTACCGGCCAACAAAGCAGCCAACAATGTTGGAGTAGTGTGATCGGGATATTTTGTATAAATTGTGCATCTTTATTTGAAACTATTTAAAAGGATTAGTTTCCTTAAATCTGATATTTTTGGACTTTCACAGACAAACTGTTCGGTCATAAAATGTCATTATATTGTTATACTTATTATCGTTTTATCTAAATCATTTTATTTGCAATATTTGTCAGTCAAAGTAATTTTATTAACATGTGACGATTTTTCTTTATAAAGCTGCATGTGTTATAAGTAACAATTAAGTGTCAGTATATTTTTACAAAGTCGGAAATTTGTTTCAAGATAATTCTATTTGTAAATTATAGATAAAGTCACAGCTTTGTATAGTTCTTAAGTTTTCTTATGTAAAGAATAAATAATCCTTTAGTCATTTCAATTAGCGCTATTAAGCCTTAAACTCAAACGACAGATTTTTGTAATATTCTTTTGTTAATCTTTCAAGTGCTAATTGTATTATTTCATTGTCATTCGGTAATCTCGTTTCTATTATTGTAACCATGTAAATTCTTGATTTAAATATGTTTTCTGAAGTTCTTACTTCAGTGAGAGTCGGGCATTCGTACTGACAACATCTGCTCATTTGTAAAAGTACATGGATTCCATCCTGAATCAATAAATTGTTAACTACTGCATATGACTTGTGTCTAATTCTACAAGTGGAGTTCAAGCGAGTATTCTCAGGCAAGTGACTAGTTCCTAGTCATTGTCTATCGTTGGCATCGCCAACGTCTGCAACCGGTCGTGGGTTGCAGCTCGTTATCATCGTCAATCAAGTAGACAATCTCCCGGTTACATTTATGGTGGAGAAAACCCAGAGGCGTGTCGACTTTTTAGTTCGACACACGGTACCAGTATCTCAAGCAGCAAGTGACAGTTCGATCGCTAGTTCCCATCATCTCAGTTGATGCAGCGATGGAATATAGTTTTCGACCTCAATGGAGAACGTGGACATTTTATTCCTGTCAAAATCTAATGTGTGTCAGATGTGGAATACAAAATCATCGCTTTGGAACATGTTCAGCGATAGATAAACAATGCAACAAATGCAACAAATTCGGACATTATTCATGACAATGTTGGAGTAAATTAAGTAAATTTTCAAACTCTTTACAGCTCGTCCAGGAGAAAACAAAGCATAAAAGGGAACGCGATACCAAAAGACTGAACGAATATTATTAATATTACTAATATTAGTTTTTTTTTTTGATAAAATACACACTTTTAATAGTTTTTTTTTTTCAATTCGGTTGACTTTTCAATTCTCTACACTACATTTTCATAACTTTTTCTCCAACAAAAGTTTATTTAATTAAATGGTCTTTGAAAATCTAATTGCTATGTATTTACTGTATCTCATTTAAAGCATTATTCTGTAAAGTTTAATGTAAATATGCTAACTATTCTTATTAGAAAAAGATGGCAAAGCTGTAAGTTTTCTAATTGACCACATCTGTGTATGTTAAGGCAATAAAGTATATTTACTAAAATTTTACCGATTGTGCTCCGTTGATATCAGTCCTGTTCCTGTATTGTTTATTAATTACAATCTACAAACTCAGTAAAGATCCGTCAAACTTTCATTTAACAGATGAATTCAACAAAACTACCCGTTATCTTGATGATATTTTTGGAAAATGAAATATTGTGATTGCTTATGTTGATTTTTAAGATAAGTAATACATATACAATTTAAATTGCCTTTCCAATTTGTAACTGTAATATAAATCTAAGGAATATATTGCAGGACAACGGCTACGCACACTACATTTCCGGACTAAGAATTTACTTTTATTAGTGTCTAATCACATTTATTTTGCAGAATTCAATATGTTCATTTCAAACAATCCGACGACAAATAATATTGCATCAAACAAGCAAAAAACAAAAAGAAAAAAGAAAATTTGGATTATGCTTTGTTTTTAATCGGAATAGCAAATCCTGCATTCTGCAAATTCAATATGGAGATTTACTTAGAGCAAATTGGAAGTCATAATACGGAGATGTGGGATAATATAAAAAAAAATGACAACCAAACGAATCAAAACTTCAGAGCATTTCCAATTTGGTTTTAGTAGAGAAGACAGACTTAGACAAGTGATTTGTTAATTCAATAAATATGAACTATCCAAAGTTATTTCAAGAGTTGAATATAAATTTTGGTATATGTAAACACATTCATATCATATCGTATTATCGTCCACCTAGGGCTGGTCAATACTTCATATTGCTGCATTATATGGACATAAAGAGATTGTTTCTGATCTCCTTAACAGAGGACTGAAACCAAACATAGTAACGCGCACACATGTAAGTATTGGAAACATCATGATGTTATAAAGAGATGGCATTTATTAAATTTTTTTTGGGGTTATTTCATGTTATGCACTACTTTGTAGATAGACCTTCAAACTTCCGGACATAACCATGTCTTGCGGGGGGAGGGGGGGGGGTTATTGCAGTAATTTATTTTTACCAAAAGTCTATTTAAAAGTCTAGATGTTACAAATAACGATTTCCCCAGTTCATGAGAATGACTCATGCTACAATGCAGGAATCCCTATTTATACCTATTTTGATACGATTCAGATTTTGTGTATGGAGCACATCCCTGTTTTTGAAGTCTATATAGTTTGAACATGCATGAACGTTGCATATTAATGAGATATGTAAACGTAATACGATGGTGTAGATGGTATGTGACTGCTGAGAAATGGGAAGTTGGCAAGGAAAGTTGAAATCATCACACTGTCATAGATTGAAGTTTTAAGTCGTCCATCTTGAAAACAATTCCGGCTTACAGAATAGGTTTCGCTACACATTTATAAAAAAATATATATAGTGTATATATGTTTATTCACTTGAAATACGGAATATTGTTTACCTCTTTTGGTTTGCACAATGTCACTTGCAGACGGAAAATATCGTTTTTACTTCCATATCACATGATGCAATTATACTGATTATTTAAAAAAGGGTGTCTCTGTACTCCATTGTGCAGTTGAGAATGGGCAGAAGGAAATAGTGTCTGAACTTCTGGACAACGATTGTGATCCATACAGATTAACGGACTTTGTAAGTACTACTTTTAAGTGTGACATTGATGTACATGGCTTAAATATCTTTGAAATCGAAGGGGAAGCCAACTTCTATTAAGAAGTAATCGGGTATGTGAGTGAGGAGTGTATTCTTACAAATAAAAGCACGGATATAATATAAAATACCATAAATGTTTGATTTAAATGACCATTTTTGAAAGATTACCAGAACTTTCAAATTACGTATCTTTTAATTTTACAACGAATAAAATCGGAGGGGAAGCCAACTGTATTTCTTATCAATTTTATAAGTTTCAATGCGGAAATATCTATTAAAAAGTAATCAGGTATGTGAGTGAGGAGTGCATTTTTATAAATAAAAGCACGGATATAATATAAAATACCATTTATAAATATTTGATTTTAATGACCATTTTTTGAAAGATTACCAGAACTTTCTAATTACGTATCTTTTAATTTTACAACGAATGAGCCGAAATAAGTTAAGAACTGTTTTTGTCAAATTAAGACGAAGCTAATATTATTGATTTTATTTCTGCTGTGTAGAATTTGCAAAATACAACACTCTAGGTAGGTTTTTTTTTTTATTAAATACACCTTGCACACATACACACACTGCTCTTCTTTTTTCTTTATATATATCATCTTTTTCTATGTATCATTTTAGACATTTCTACATACTCCATACATTAACACAACTGCTTACAGATGACAAAAAAGTAAAATAACAAAAATACCAAACTCCGAGGAAAATTATAAACGAATGTGAAAAAACAAATGTCATATTCCTGACTTGGTACAGACATTTTCTTACGTTGAAACCCGCACACTTCACACAATATTTATTTTGCCCTTGTAAAATATCTGAATTAATAATCGTATTTGTATATTTGTCGTAGGGTAAAACAGTCCTTCATTGGGCAGCTGAAAATGGAAAACATGAAATAGTTTCTGTACTTCTTGACAAAGAATTAGACATGCTGAATTATGTGGATAAAGATGTAAGTATTAACACAAAAATGTATTCGTATTTCTTAAAACGTTTTCATCTTTGAATTTACATATTTCATTAGTGTCAAGATTTATATGCAGCATTTCTGAAATATTTGTAACTATTGTAACGTGTACAAAAGCTATGGATTGTTATGTCGAACTAAAATCTGTACAACTGCTCTTGGACAATTAATATGAAAAAAAATCCCTTAGATGACATGTGACACCGTTTAACTACCCAACGTCATTAAACAAAACAATCATCACGTTTATTTGTTAGACCATTGTTGTCGATAGCTATCAAGTGCAATCAGATGATTATTGATTTTCCATCAAAATCGTAACGTGTGACGAGTTCAAGGTGAAATCCCAGTAATGTCTGATCAGGGAAAAAGTCCGACGAACCCGAAAAAAATATACAAAATTGATCAAGAGTTCCAAGTGGCAAAGTTGAAATCATCCCTTCGTATATTATACGGACGCCGTCACGAATTGATTGACCGTTATGTAATATTGCTTTCGAAGATGACGACGAATATGTTCCATTTAGTACAATCCCGTCCCATTTCCCCGAATGTGACCTACCGAATTAGACTAACATCCCAGCTCCTTTGTTCTACTAGGGGTGATCTGAGCCGGATCACCACTACCAGATCAGCCTAGCTTGAGTTTCTTTGTTCTGCATGCTTTCCTTTGTTCTGTAACATTTGGCGGGAATGTCAAATCCACAATAAAACTTAGAATTATTTATACGGAAAAGACTAACTATCAACATTTATGTAGAAAAAATCAGTATCTTTGCTGGGATTCGAACTCAAGACCTTTAGCATATAGACCCACGATGCATACCCCTACACCAAGACGACTGGATACAAACTCGCTGTTAATTTAACATATTAAACATTGTGTCCGGGGATCATAAAGAGTATATACTATATAGTAATATATAAAGTATATTATAATGACTGTGTGGCGTTCTAAACTAAATTTTATGAAGCGTAATGGTTTTTTTTTATCTAATCTAGAACAGCTGGGATGTAAAATAGTTATCCAATTCGGACTTGGTGTGTCAGTGTAAGATCACCCTCTGGCCTCCGGCCATCGGGGTGATCTTACACTGACACACCGCGTCCTCATGGGATAACTATTACTGATCACCGGCTTTGTACTGACATGAGCAACACGACGGGTGCCACGTGTTGAGCAGGATCTGCATTCCCTTCCGGTGCACCTGAGATCACCCCCAGTTTTTGGTTGGGTTCGTGTTGCTACGTCTTTGGGTTTTTTCGTGTTTTGTGTACTGTTCTTTGTCTGTTGGTATTTTTCTTATTTAGCCATGGCGCTGTCAGTTTGTTTTCGACTTATGAGTTTGAATTTCCCTTGGGTATCTACGCCTCTCTTTTACGGGTCATGTGAACTTTTTTAATCACGATCTATCTTATTCGTGTTATTCTGATGATGTACAAAGAACCGGATTTATTCATATTCATCAAGATCAAAATAAATACATATACAAAAAATTTTTAGCTTCAGATATACATTGTGTACTGATTATGTAAATTCACTTTAAAAACACGATATTTCATAGAATTTTACTAATCTAAACAAAGTTAAAATACAATTTGGTACAGAATATGGAAGGCTAGCTATATTTCTAAATATTGCTGTGGTCATCTGAGGATAAACAAATAAATCATTCATTTATAATTTCATATTTTACTTTTCTATCTATGGTCTCCCATTTCTTTCTCTTGTTTTAAAGCGTCATATTTATTTAATGTCATATCAGGCTATGATACATTTGCAAAATTTAACTAAATCAGTTACTGCATCGAAGAAATATAAACATGTTACAACGCAATTTTAATGACATTCAACACTAATTAATCGCTTTTTATATTTCCATCCCTCAACTTACAATGGATTTACTTCAGTCATTGTAGTAAATATTACATTCAGACCTAAACGACACTTTGCTAATGTTTTATAGTTGATACCTGGCTTGGATAAGACCGACACGCTGAGTCAAATATTTGTCTCTCATCTACTCTATTCTAAATTTAAGTCGGGTAGTGGTTGTTCGAACTACTATAATACCGCGTACTTAGCAACGAACAGTTTTAGAGTATACTTGCTTCCAGCTGTCCGTTCAGACTTCTTACAGCATTCGCGCTCACTGTGGTCACACTATTACGACCCTAACGAAGCGGTTTGTAGTATTATAAAAACTGTAAATATAAATTCGTATTTACTACTGGATATTTTTATGTCATTGTGTGCTCTATCAATGACATTCCATGTCATACGACTGTAATATTTATTGATGGTCTTTTTCCACAATTTTACCTTCCTTTAAATATTTAAACGCGTCTAATATGATGTTTTAACGCCATCTCACATTCGAGAAAAATATTTACTATAAAATTGTAAAATGAAAGATAATGGAGCAGGATCTGCTCATTATTCAGGTGCACCCTAGGGCACAGCCGGTGTTGTTAGGGTTCGTGTTGCTCAGTCGTTTTGTTTAGTGTTTTATAAGACGTTTTGTTGTTTTTTATCGACTTTTGTTTTTTGTTCATCCCTATGGTTTCTTCTGTGTCTTTTTCTGCAATCTCCAAAGTATTCTTGTTAAATCTTACTATTTTTGTCCTTTACTGAATTCAGCGTTGAAAGCACATCTTTGTTCGTCAGATTGTACCCATTTCTTGTCTAGATTGTTGTCATATGTCAATGACACTTGATTTTTGTTTAGAATGATATTGACTTCTAAATGTCTTTTTAAGGTGTTGTGTTGTTGTAAAATAGGAGAAACACAACGGGTATCACATTTGGAACAGGATCTGCTAAATTTTTTAGAGTTCCTGCGATCACCCCCAGTGTTGGGTTGGGTTCGTGTTGCTCAGTATTTAGTTTTGCATGTTGTCTTTTGTGGACTGTTTTTGTTTGTATATTCTTTTTTTTCATGGAATTGTCAGTTTGTCTTCATGCAACCTTTTTTCTATGTATTGTGATATATTCATACTTAGCCTTAGTCCTGTTAGTTGCAATGATTCATGCTCCACTCGAGTATTTCAATATATAAAAACCTGGTTTTGTCGAAGGTTTACAATGCGCAATTTTTTCAAAGTTAATTATATATAAAAACAAACAATGCTTACAAAACGATTAAACACCTAAAATTTCAAGTACCAAGAATAAGGAAAAAAAACAAAAATGCTGAATTCGTTCGTTAAACAATTTTGTTGAAATACTCGTCACGTAGGACTCTAAGAAGCAAACGTTTGGGAAGCCAAAAATGCGTGAAAAGTTGTCATATTTGCAAATCGGAGTAAAACTAATTTTTTGACGAAATTTCATATAACGAAATTTAAAAAAAAAATGAGTTTGTCATCATAATTATGATCATTGAAACCAATCAAGCAGGCTACAAATCAATTGCTTAAAGAATTAAATAATTTAAATTGTATAGGGCTGGTTAGCACTCCATTTAGCAGCTTTAAATGGACACATAGACAGTGTAAGTGAATTACTCCGTAGAGGATCAGATGTGAATGCAGCAACATTAGATGTAAGTAAAATGTAGCAATATGAGGCTTCCTAACAAAAGTTTTCCGTTTTTTTATAGTTTTTGATGCAACACTCATCATGTTAGCAAAAGTTTTTGCTTAGAATCGACTTATGGAACTCTAGAAGAGCCTCTGTTAAGACATAAGAAGTTTAACTAAAAGCAATAGATGGTAAAACCCAGCTTAAACGTCAACTTTGATCAGAAATTGTAAAAAAAAAAAAAAAAACCCAAAAAAAACGAAAGTCTTTTTTTTGTATGCTAATATTTTGCAGTTTCCCTGCCATTTGAGGAATGATTTGAGAAATCTGCATGGTTTTATTTCGATCCCTTATCTGATACATTTCCAAAGAACCCAGTTATAGAAATACATGTGCATTATTTTGCATTTGCAACTAAAATAAATTTGAATGTCTAATTGTATCATTACTTCACAGGGCACAACAGCACTACATTTGTCATCAAGCAAAGGACACATGGCAGTAGTTACTGTTCTCCTTGACCATGCTGCAGATATAAACGCAAAAACTGCAGACGTGAGTAATAACAATGCATAAGTTAATGAGGTTATGTAGTGTCATGTCCATAAAAAAATCTTCCCGAAGGAGGAAAATGACGTATACTTTCATATTCACTGTAATATATGATATAAATTACAACTGATTATATCATTTGAACTTATAAAAAATTAGTAGTATGAATGCATGATCCACCTTTCCGAGAACATGACAAAACTTTTTTGCTTGAAACCGAACAGTTTAAACAGAAAAAATCATAGATATATGAATAACAAAATATGTGGGTATTCATCAATGACGCCGCAGCAGAACATTGAAACAAAACAAAAAAAATATATATAAAGTATAAATTTTATTTATAAGCATCAAAACCAATCAATCGGTTTTGAACATAACAGCCAGTAATCAACTTTGCCTGGAAATGTAAAAATGGGTTTTTATCGGAGCTTAAATATGTACAATTACATTATCATTTATTGACTGAAACTTTACCATAAGGAAGAATAATTAAATCGTGCCAATTACAAACCAATAAGTTCAGGGCGGATGTAAGGCTTTGTGACTGATAGTCAACTAGACTCGAACCTTATCCAGCTTAGCTTATAATAATTTATATCAATATTTAATAATTAAGAACCAAGCTATTTGGTTTGGGATTAACTTAAGAAAAACTGGACAACGGTTAAAATTAAAAGTGCAAATGCTTCTGCAACCTGAAAACAATTATTTAAACAATCAGCATGCAAAACTGAAGGCGAAAATGTACAAACGGGATATTCAAACTCATTAGTCACAGACAAACTGACCATGTCATGGCAAAAAACTAAAAACGACGAAAAGAGAAATAGTGCACAAAAAGTAACAAAAACAACCTAAAAACTGAGCAACACGAACCCCACCGAAAAATACGGGTCAGCAGATTCTGCTCCATATGTGGCACCCGTCGCGTTGCTTTAGTAAGTACAAATCCGGTGATAAGTCTAATTCGTTGGGTCACATTCGAGGGAAAGGGGACGGAGTTGTGCTTACGACGATTTGAACACACCCGCCGTCATCTATGAAACTGATATTCCATAACGTTCAACCAACTCGTGACTGCATCCGTAAAATTTGCGAAGGAATGAATTTAACTTCACCAATAGGAACTCTTGGTTTAAAATATTCTTTGCAAGCAACAACCCTCTATTAAGAAAATCATGATAGAAAATGCAATGTCTGGAATATTGTATCAATTGCGAGATATATACTCCATATACAAATGCTGATGGAATGTTGCTACATAGAAATGAAAAGCTCACAATTTGAAAGCTGAAGTCATCTCTTTTTTGGAACCTTTTTTTCGCAACCGAACTTCCTTTTTATTTTCTCAAGTTATTAGTCAGACCTGTATCTATTTTATCCTATTTTTCAAGTTCGATGGGATGGATGCGTTTAACATAGTTACCAAACTTTGAATTAGTAAGTGAGAGGATATCATCTATATAGCGGCAAGTGAAGTTAAAGGATAATGTTAGTTTCTTTTCTTTCTTCCTTAGAAGCTCCCGTATGAAGTCAGCCTTACGTGAATATAGGAATAAGTCGGCAAAAAGATGAGCACAGTTGATTCCCAGGGAATGCCGATTCTTTGTTAAAAAACACGTCCTTCAAACGTAACAAATATGTTGTCAATCAAGAAATCAAGCATTTTTGGTATTGTCAGTTTCACAGAATGTTTTGTTTGAATTAGAGCGAGTTTTACTAAGAAAGATTTATTCCTCCCTAGTGAAGGTGCCAATTAGATCGTTAGTTTTGTGAGGCGTCACATGCAGACCTTAATGATTTTTACTATTGCATTTCACGTAATGTTGTATAATCTCATGTCGTTTTTCATGTTTTTCACGTCAAACTTCAATAAAAATGAACTTGTCATCCGATTAACTTACGTGATGTCAATAAAAGCCTGGTGTAATACATTGTCTTAGGATCTGGTAAGAATTGATTATACATCAATAATTTAATTTTGGATGTAACGCGTCTTCTGATTGGCTGACGTTGTTTTGTTTATCAGCTCATAGACATAATTTTGTCATGTGACCGTGACGTCATCAACGTTTTTTCATGGTTTACTCCGGTTTAAAATGAAATTTAGAATTAAATTATAAGAAATGACTGTAATATTGTTTCTGTCTATGCGAAATAACATAAAAAATGTGGTGCACACTTTAAAATAAACCGCTACACGGGTTATTCAGTGTGCATCACATTTTTTATGTTATTTCTTCATAGACAGAAATAATATTACAGTCATTCCTTAATTATTGTATTAAAATAGTTTATCACTAAAATAAAATGAATTTAAATGTTAAATTGTATCATTACAATATAGGGCACAACAGCACTACATTTGTCATCAATGAATGGACACGTTGATGTAGTAACTGTTCTCCTCGACAAAGCTACAGATCCGAACGCAAAAACAGCAAAAATGAGTAATAATTTAAGGAGGTTATGTTGTATCATGTTCCAAACAAAAATTTATTCCCTTTATACGAAGGAGGAAAATGAAGTATACTTTCATATTTACTGCAATCTATGATAAAAATTACAACTGAGTATTCCATTTAAACATTTAATAAATCAGAAGTATAGATGAGTGATCCACATTTCCCTAAAAATGACAAAACCTAGTTGCTTGAAACCGAACAGTTTAAACAGCAAAATTCATAAATATGAAAAACAAAATATGTGGGTATGCATTAATGAGATAGAAGCAGCACAACAATAGAACAAAAACAAGACATACATGTAACTTTATAAAGTAAATACAATATTCAAAAGTATCAAAAATCGATCGGATTGAACACAACAGCCAGAAATGATCAACTTGCCTGGGAATGTAAAAATTGGTTTAAACGCTGAGCTGAAGTTGAATTATATGTACAATGAATTGAAAAGTTACTATGAGAAAGTAGTATCATATCCTATCATTTCCGAAGCAATGAGTTCGGGACCAATGACAATCTTTATGACTGATTGTCAACTAGGAGCGGTCTTGATCCATTAATTACGTATGGTAATTGAAATCAGTATTCAATACTTAAGAACCATTGTATTTAGTTTGGGATCGACTTTGAAAACACAAGAACACGGTTAACATTAAAATGTTAAATGCTTCTAGAACCTAAAAAAGAATAATAAAAAAGCAGCATTACGGTGCCAATAAAAAATAACTTTTTGTAAAGCATCACATTAAGAGTTTCATGAATTTCACAATAGCCATATTCACCTTTTTGTATCATTTTACAAACTTACATGATTTTAATAAAAACCCTTATGTTATATATTGTTTAATAATCCCGCCAAAAAATTACATTTGCATGATAATGGATTGAAAATAAAAGTAAATTGATATATGACTGAAATAAAAGTAATTTGAATGTCAAATTGCATCATGACTGGTTAGGCTATACACCACTACATCGGTCAGCAAGGTTTGGACACAAGGAAGTAGTTACTAACATCCTCGATTATGCAGCAGATCCAAACGCACTAGTAGGAGATATGAGTAATGCATTAGATAAGATTTTGATTTGTTTTCTTTCAAATCTCTAAGGAAGTAGGAAAATGCAGTATACTTATATATCATATATATTCTATTTATATTGGTAATTGCAATTTAATATTTCATTTTAGCATCAGCAGAATCAGTAATTTAAACAAATTTCTGTGCACATGAACATGTTTCTTAAGTAAACAGATTCGGGTGTGTTTGACACAAACATTTGAAATAGATAGCCAAATAAATAGATATGGCTTAAAGGAAATGTAGGTATACATCATTGAGAGAGTATTCCAACAACTAAATGTTTCCCGCGATTGTTACATTACCGAGTGCGACTTATAACGAGATTTGTATTTGCTTTGAACAATAGGACGGGCGTCACCAGTGGAACAGGATCTACTTAATTCAAATACCCCTGCGATCAATCCTTTTTCGGTAGGGTTACTAATGCTTTATTTTAAGTTTTCAAGCATACTATCCCTCATAAGCAGTCAGTTTACTGCAAAAAGTAGATATATATTGTCGTAATGAATGATAAAGTAGTGCAATTATACAACTATTGTCAGGTCATTAAAGATGGCATATTTGAGAATTAATATTGATTAACTCATAGGGTCTTTACATCGGAAATAAATGCATTTATTCTAAAACCAGTTGTTGGCATGATACGGGTTATGTTCTTCTCATATATTTTATGATGATATGATACTTAGCCCCTAACGGGAGGGAATGTGCTTGATTTTCATATGATGAAGACATAATCATTCAATCAGTTTAATTAAGGTCCGGAGCTGGCATGTCAGTAACTGCTAGCAGTCCTTTGTTAATTTATGTATCATCGTCATTTTGCTTAGTTTCTTCTGTTACCTATTCTGACATCGGACTCGGACTTTCTAAGACTGAGTTTTACTGAGCGTATTGCTGTGTGTTTGTTTTATTCTACATTGGCTAGAGGTATATGGGGAGGGTTGAGATCCCACAAAACAGGTTTAACCACGCTGCATTTTTGTCCCAAGCCAGAAGCCTCTGGCCTTTGTTAGTCTTGTATGTTTTTTTTAACTGTAGTTCATTTATATGTTTCGGAGTTTTAATGTGATGTTCATTTTCAATGAACTAGAACATTTTTTTCTTTAGGGACCAGCTGAAACCCGCCTCCGGGTGCGGGATTTTCTTGCTGTGTTGAAGAGTCATTGGTGGACTTCGGCTATTTCTGCTCTTTGGTCGGTTTTTTTGTCTCTTTGACACATTCCCCATTTTCATTCTCAATTTTAATATCTAAATATTTTTTTTATATTAAAAGGTAATACGATAATTGTTTTTTATACTAAAAGTTAATAAAATGATAACTTTGAAAATTATGTTTTTTGTAATGTGAAGTATCGGATACTGTTTTTTCTCTGGATGGATTTATGCCGTCATACATCAGAAGTAATGTGATTGCGCAACTACAGTTTAAGTGATCGGAAAAGTTTTATCTTGGAAAATCGTAGTACAGGAGAGTGAAAAGAAACTACAATTTTCCGAGAATTTGGAATTTGGATCACAGGGCGGATATGTTTTTGATTTTGTCTTTTCGCTTTCCGGGATTACGGAGTTTTTGGTAGTGAGACGGTGGAGGTGCTTGCAGTAACTGCTAGTGTAGTTCTTGCTTTTTTGTGTAACCACCTATCAAGTATACCAGGCTTACAATTTGGTTTCGTCTTCATAAGACTTATCAGTGGCACTCAAATCAAAATAATTGGAAGTCCTGATAAATTATAAGGTTGAAGAGCATGAAAAACTGAATATGTAAAGCGCTTCTTTTATTTATTTGGGAATTTGCATTTCACATGTGTTGTCTGCTGCTCCAGACGTAATGGCACTTCTGTGTCAAATCACTCCTTTGGGTAGTGTTGCCGATGAATGTCGTTGCTGTGCTGGTTATATAGCTTTAGAAGTTTTCGTATGAGTTATGCTTTTTGTTTTTGTGAGCTTTTTAGTTGCTATCAGTGGCTCTAGTCGTACTTTCAGTTCAGGGACGTGAGCTCATTTCAATCTTTTAAGGCGTTTTCAAAGGAATGTGTTAGGTCGATGTGGTGGCTGTAGTTGGCATGATGATGGTGATGATGTAGGTGCTGTCTGCGGAAACTGCTACGATATGAAAGAAGAAGATTTGGAATAGTGTGTTGTTATTGTTGTAAATGAAGGATAAAATGTGTGAAGTAGTAGTGGTGGTGGTGGCAATCGGAATTTTTTTCGGAATTAGGAATTTGATGGTTTATTAAAATACCCATTCCAAAGTTGATTTTAAACATTTAGAATAGCGATGGGCATCTACAAATATGCGTTGTTTTACAAATTGTAGGTTTTTTCTGTATCTAATCTTAAGTAGTTATAATCATCGTTTTTTGCTAATTTCAATTTTTTATTTTCCAAGTCGCTTATAACATTTCCCGAGGGTATCACCAGCCCAGTAGTCAGTACTTCAGCGTTGACATGAACTATCATTGATATGGTCATGATTATAAATTGGCTGTTAACAGACTTTGAATTTTTCGAAATACAAAGGATTTTATGACCAGGAAATAAATTATTTTAGCTTTAGTTGGCAAAACCTTTCGGAATTTTGGGCTTCAATGTTCTTCAGCATCGTACTTTATTTGGCCCTTTTAAGCTTTTTTATTCAAACGTCACTGATGACTGTTTTGAAGACGAAACGCGCGTCTGGCGTAAAACTTGTAAACATAGTGTATCTATGATGAGTTTTTTACAAACACTGGGTCGATTCCACTACTGAGTCAGGACTTCAGTGTTGATATGCATTATCATTGATATAGACATACTAATAAATTAACTGTTGACAAAACTTTGAATTTATTCGACAGACTAAGGATTTTGTACCCCAGGAATGAATTACTTTAGCTTTATTTGTCAAATCCTTTCCGAATTTTGGGTCCGCAATGCTCTTCAACTTTGAACTTTTGTATGGCCTTGTTAACTTTTTCATTCGAGCTCAATGATGAGTCTTGTGTAAACCTAACGCGCGTATGGCGTTCAAAATTTTAATTTTAGTATCTATGACGAGTTTATGTACAAGCCACTGCTTTTGGAGGTTTACTCCCCGAGGGTATCACCAGCTCAGTAGTAAGCACTCTAGTGTTGACATGAATGATCATTGATATGGTCATAATTATAGATTTACTGTTTACAAAACTTAGATTTTTTTCCCCCGATATAATAAAGATTTGTTTACCTCAAGGAATAGATTAATTTAGCTTTATTTTGCAAAACCTTTCGGAATTTTGGGTCTCAATGCTCTTCAGCTTCGTATTTTATATGACCTTTTCATTTTTTTTATTCGAACGTCACTGATATTTTTTTTTACAAAACGCGCGTCTGTCGAAATCAAAGGAAGTTAAGAGTAGCTTCTTCTTTGAAATGTGAAATCCAAACCTCCGGATTGGTCATGTTATTACTGACGACCTTGGCAGCGTTACCAATGAACAACTAAGATAGTTGTTAGCCAAGGGACCAAAATACATAAGTCCCAAGCCAATCAATTGGAAAAAGAACTTCAGGTTACTGATGGATGCAGTTGAGGACTATGCTAGAAACTGGGTAAAGCAGACCAGACGAACCAGAGCTGGACACTTTGTCTGAATGGATCAAAGCTATTCGATCATGCATTCAGAAGCGCATTCAGAAACTACGATGTACTATGAGCACAAGGGTTCCTAACCCATTCAAGAACCCGGAGGTTGTGGATGCTTTATCCTCTTTGCATGACAAATATGTCGTTGTTCCAGCAGATAAAGCCTCCAATAATATTGTCTTCTTATGTAAAAACCATTATTTGCAATGTCTCACAAAAGAGCTTGGAATAAATTTGCGCAACTGGTAATCCTACATATTCTTTAACATCATTTACAAAGGATGAAGTTTTACAAAATCACAAATCTGTCCTTCTCTCATTTGGTATTAACATCAAAGAAAACGAAGAAAATCTAACGTCATTATACTGGATACCAAAGCTTCTCAAAACTCCGTATAAAGAACGATACATAGCTGGACCATCAAGATGTTTGTCTAAACAGCTTTCTAAAGTGTTGACTACTATTCTTTCCACAGTGAAAGATGGCATTCAAAAATATTGTGATAAGATATATTCAACCAGTGGTGTCAATCAAATGTGTATTCTCAAAAATTCAAAAGATCTACTGCTAAATCTCAGATCACAATCTCTGCAATTTTGCAGCAACATTAAGACCTTTGATTTTTCTACGCCTTACACTACTATTCCCCATGCTCAATTGAAAGATCGACTTCACCATCTCATTAAACAGAGCTTTTTCTATAAAAACGGGAATCGTAGATATAAATTTCTTGTTTTGGGTTATGATATTTCTTATTTTGCGAAGAACCACACTGATTCTATCAGAAAAAACTGTGAAGATGATGTTATCAAAATGCTGGACTTTTTAATCGACAATTTAATTGTTGAGTTTGGAGGATTGATATTTCAACAGACAGTCGGTATTCCAATGGGTACTAATTGTGCACCCCTTCTGGCCGACTTGTTTTTGTACTCGTATGAAGCGGAATTCATTCAGAACCTTCTAAAAGACAAAAAGAAAAAGCACCTTGCAAAATTCTTTAATTTTACTTTCAGATATATTGATGATGTCCTTTCACTGAATAACCCATATTTCAGTCAGTTCTTGCATCTCATATATCCAAGTGAGCTTGAAATTAAGGATACTAATGATACAAGAAGGACTGCTTCATACCTTGATCTTTGCCTCAGTATTGACACATATGGACGACTTCACACGAAAATCTATGAAAAACGGGATGATTTCAACTTCCCAATTATCAATTTCCCATTTCTCAGCAGTAACATACCCTCTGCTCCGTCGTATGGTGTTTACCTGTCTCAATTGATACGTTATGCACGTGCATGTTCACACTATACTAACTTCATATACAGGAATGTGCTCCTTACGCAGAAACTGCCAACAGAGTTATTACGAGGAAAGATTAAAAATGACACACCGTAAATTTTATGGACACCATCAAGAATTGGTTGATATATACGATGTGTCTGTGTCTAAACTAACTAATGACATTTTTACCACGTCTTAGATTGTGGTTTAACATCTATGTCGTCTGTCTGAT